CACACACACACACACACACACACACACACACACACACACACACACACACACACAAACACACACACACCCAGAGCAGCCATGGAGCAGTTGGGCCTTCTGCAGGGACACCTCAGTCGATGGTATTGAAAGTGGAAGAGAGCACGGTTCATTCACTCCCCCCACCTCCCCTACAATTCCTGCCAGTTCTGAGAATCAAACCTGTGACTCAGGTTACAAGTCCGACTCTCTAACCATTAGGCCACCACAGCCTCCTAGGTTATGCCCCAGCTTCTTGTCTTCCTCAACCACCTGCAGAATGTTCTGATAATGCTGCTCTGATCTGGCTGCATCAAGGTAATCAACACTCAGCTTGATGCCACACACTCAAAATCATTCACAACGAAATGGTGGTGGCAGTGGGCAGTTGTGGCCTAATGGTCAGAGAGTCGGACTTGTAACCCAAAATGGTGTGGGGTCGATTCTCCGTACCAGCAGAAATTGTAGTTGGGGGGGGGAGTAAATGAACAGTGCTCTTTTCCACCTTCAATACCCACAACTGAGGTGTCCTTGGGCAAGGCACAGAACCCCAAATTCCTCCCGGGCGCTGCAGCAAATGGCTGCCCACTGCTCTGGGTGTGTGTTCACAGTGTGTGTGTGTTTGTTCACTGGGTGAAATGCAGAGGACAAATTCCCAGTATGGCCTACACCTCACTTCAATAAGTAAAGAAACATAAAGAATTAAAAATTATCCAATAGTACCAGAAACCAGTTATTATTTTTGTTCTTTTTAAACGTACATGCTTATTTGTGATGCTGTAACAATATTTTGCATCACATGTGGACCTGGTAGATGATATTCATTTTTTGAAATATTTTGCACATTTGCTGTCTAAAGGCCTGGACACACCAAGCCGACTTCAAAGAACTAGCGGCGATGAAAGCCGACAGTGTTGTCACCTCGCGTCGGCAGCGTCGGACCAAAAAGCTGCGCTCGAACACACCACACAGACTACAGCTGACGGCAAACTATCACGTGCGTTCTGCGCATGCGTGAGAGGAATTAACTGTCTATATCAGGAGCTATCAATAGTATACAGTATATTCGTCATTCAAAAGGTGAAACCGAAACAAAGATATACGAGATAAACGCAGATATATACGAAACGTAAACAAAGCAGCACTTGCTTACCATTTTGAATATCAGTAACGTTGATAACTTTAATCATTTTAAGCAGCTCATGTTGTTACGAAAACATTCGCGTATTAGAATGATTGGGAAAGATCACGTAACATTTAAACAGCCTTCTGTCTTTACCGCCTTCATTTACGTGCTTGTTTTCATCACTTTCGCTTTAATTCTCGGGCACTGACTCGTTCGCTAAACTGAACATCCAATCAGAGCTCTCACTCGTGCCGACGGTCCCGATGGCCTCGACGAATCGGGCAAACTGCTGCCAACGTGAGCCCGACGAGAGCCGACGAGTGGAACACACCAAACAAACTAGCCCGACCGTCGCTCGCCGTCGGCCCGACGTTGGCCAACGGCCATTAACTTAAGTGGAATGAATTTATGCTAGGACCAAAAGTGAAAATCTTACATTTGATCTTACTTTTTGATGCACCCTAAGCAGCACATCTGGTCTTCAATCAGTCAAAGAGAACCCACATCACACTCATACTGATCTCACCCCACTGGCTCCCAGTTGCAGCCAGAATTGGCTTTCAGAATCTGTCTTTCAGGACTGCCACTGGAACGGCATCCACCTACCTCAATTTGCTCCAAGAAGTTTATGCTCATCCTGCCAGCTACAGTCAATGATTTAGCAATGTCGTCTTTATTGAATATTGTTGGCTCTGTGACAAATTTTGTTCTTCTGTTGTAAATCCATAAATGTCAGAAGTAATATCTTGAAATTAATATTTGATGCCACAAGTAGCCAGTGGAGATAATGCAGAAGAGCAGTGATGTGTGAAAGGACACACACTTGTACCAGAACATCCTCAAGACTCTGGTGGTGATATGAGTGATGATGACCAAATAAAGGATTGTAATAATCAGCCTACAATGGCAGAAGAGACTAAGGAGGCTGCCTAAGCAAATCACTGCCCCGTAAGAAAAGGAGAAAATGGGAAAAAAACACACCAGAGGACACCCTTGAGTCTTTTTTGTTTTTTTTATCTTTGGAGGACTACTGGCACCACAAATCACACTTTAATGTTGTAGCTCAAACCATGCCAAAGAAATCATTCAAGCATTTATTCATTTAATGATAACCAGCAGTGCAATGACAATCCAGATTGATTTTTACAAAATCTGCCCCATCTTTGAGATGCTTCAAGAGCAGAGTCTCCTGATCCCATCCACTTACAGGCGCAATGTGGATGAAATCATGATGACATATAAAGGCACAAGCTTGCATTCTCTGCCAGTATATTGCCAACAAGCCAGACAAGTGTGGCTTTAAATTGTTCTGACGGGCCAGATCATCTGGCATCATCCATGACTAACTGCTTTGTCAAGGCACATCCACATTTTTCAGTATTGTTATAAGTCAGGGGTGTCCAAACTCATTCCTGGAGAGCCAATGTCCTGCAAAGTTTAACTCCAACTTGCCTAAACTCACTTGCCTGGAAGTTTCCAGTATGCCTAGTGAGACCTTTCAGTTGTGTTTAATTGGGGTTGGAGCTAAACTCTGCAGGACAGTGGCCCTCTAGGAGCAGGACTGGACACCCCTGTTCTAAGTGAGCATGAGCAGGTGCTACCTCTGGGGGCCCAAGTGGTGATAATGTTATGTAAAACCATAACACAGTCTCAGCTTTCAGTTGTCTTCTGTGACAAATAAGTATTTGGCCAAGTTTCAACTTGGTCCAGAACCTGCATGCAAACCTGGGTGACAAGTGCATTTGCATTGTCTGATCAAACTGCATCGGTGGAGCTCCCTTAACCCTCTGTAGCCTATAGCCAAGCAGTGAGGTGCCATTAGTGAGGAAGGAGATTTTGTGTTTATGTGCTTCTAGGGATAAGGTTATGATGAAGATTTTAATGTTTTACTCTAATTATAATGTTTTGATATGATAACTTGATATGATGGTTTGGTTATGCTTGTGTTCCATGATTGTACAATGCTGCCTGAGAGCATCAGCTAGATATTAAATTTTTTTTTTTGTTAAATATGTAATGTGTAATAAGAAAAGGTTGAAGGTTAAAATTGATGTTTTCAATTAAAAAACAAAAAAAATCTGCATAAAAATGACAAATGTTTCAATATGTCTCTACGATGTTACCTTCAGACAACAAACATTTAATAAATAAAATAAATGAAAATGTTTATTGATATTGTTTTAAGCAGGAAAAACATCACAAATATTTTTTTCCTCAGTGATATC